AAGGGGATGCAGGAGCGCAGAGGGAAAGGCTCTAGGTTCTCCGTGCTGGGCCTTTGCTTGGCTGGAGCCCACCGGCAGGTGGCCCACCTCTCCCAGGGGGTCTGCCATTCTGGGCCAGAATCTCATCTTGTCTTGCAATGGCTTGTTGGGTGCCTGCATCCGGCATCCTCCCCTGGGAGAAACCAGGAGGTGAGTCCAGCAGAGAGCTCAGCCCACTTCACGTGAATCAAAGGAAGGGTCGTAAAGTCCTTTTGGTTGTTTTTGTCCTCATGGGTCAGGTTTTAGAGCTCACGCTGGGCAACTGGTCCTGACACTTGGCATTCTCTCCACAGACAAATGTTGGTTTTGTCTCATGTTTGTTCAGGGCTCTGGGGAGTTACAAACCCAGAGACAGACAGAGGGATTTTGACTGGGAGTAGACTGTCTGGCCTCGAGCCACTCCCTCAACCTCAGGATCTTAGCTTTTCCACAGATTAATAGGCAAAGTGCTGCCTCTTTCCTCCTCCACGGGTGTGGCTGTGGATGCGGTAGTCCTAGCTGCACCCCAAAGCAGAAAGATGGGTGTGTGGATACATGACCTTGTGCATGCCCTGAACTAAATGCTCGATGAATGGCTCTTGGAGAAGAGCTGGTGTGAAAACACATAAAGGAGGGGAAAATTTAGTCACCCAGCATTCTTTGTTCAGTGCTGAGACATTAAAACAATTTTAATTTAAAATCATCGTTAGGTGGTGAAGTAGACCTTCCATGAAACTTGCCATGGTAAGCATCTTTAAGTGTACAGTCCAGTAGTGTGAGATCCACTCATCGCTCACCCCGAGCCACGTCTGGAGCTTTTTCATTTTGCAAAACTGAAACTTAGAACCCATTAGACAACTCCCCACACCCTGCCCCCAGTCCCCACCAGGAAACCACCATTCTACTTTCTGTCTCTATGAATTTGACTATTTTTGGTGCCTCATATAAGTAGAATTGTACAGTTTTGTCCTTTTGTGACTGGCTGATTTTACTCAGCACAATGTCCCCAAGGTTTACCCATTTCTCAGCAGGTGTGAGAATTTCCTTCCTTTTTAAGGCTGAGTGACATTTCATTGTGTGTCTACGCTGCGTTTTGTTTATCCACTCATCCGTGGATGGACACTGACATTGCTTCCTCCTCTTGGCTATTGTTGAATCATGCTGCTGTGGACATGCCGGAGTCCAGTCAGGGCTCTGAGTTTTATATTCTGGCTCCGCTTAAATGCAACCCTCATCATGCTCTGCTGGGCAGGTCTGGGGGTTGATTTTTCCACGGGTACAACAAACCCAGAAGGGTCCTGGCTGTGTCTCCTGCAGCCTCTGTCTGAGCAGACATTCCCGGGAAGCCTTTGTCCACATTAGATAATTTAAGGTATGACTGTTTGGGAGTTTTTTTTTTCCTGAAGGACCATCTGTTTTATCTCCATTTGACTTTTTTAAAGTGCTGGAACTGTTTTTCTATTGAATACAAACATTTTTTCCCCTCTGACGTTTATATGACTGAAGGTGGAAAAGTAAGACCTTTGGTTATTAACAAAGTGAATCCATCTCCTTCCCCCGGGGTCTTGACAGCAAGCCAGAGGCTGAGTCAACTTGAGAGGCTCTGTTGTGCGTGGGCTCACCTCTTTTCGAGGTTGGAGTTGAAGGAGACCCAGCCAGTTACTAAGAATGTGAGGTTTCCCCAGGGGCCTCCAGAGTTCTCCTGAAAGCCCCCTGTTCTTGCTCACTCTGGATAAGTTTCTTCTGGTCCCTCCAGAGAGCACAGTTGGGGCACAGAGAGGTTAAGTGTGTCTTCAAAGGTTGGCCCAGGAGACAGTGGGCAAGGAATCAACTGTGCTCTGCCCAGAGCCCTTAGTGAGGCTGCTGGGACATTTGCTTTATTGAAGGCTCAGAGGCTGCGGCTTCTGGTTGGAGTCTTTCTTCTCTTGATCTTCTCTTGGCCCTAGCTCTGTGGAGTTGCCCTGAAATGGGCAATGGTTCCCCTCTTGGGCCGGATGTTTTGGAGGCTCTGGGGTCCTAGAGTTTCTAGCCAGCTCATTGAGAGTCCCCGCCAGTGGTGTGGTGTCCAAGGCTCCGTGGGTGTTGGTGGTCACCTGGTTCTGGGTCCCCACCTGCGTCTGGCACCTGCCTGGGAGAAACAAAGCAAAGAGACTGTGGGAAATGGGCAGCAGGGCAAAGAAGGGACTTGGAGGAACAGCCTTGGGTCAGCCAGTGCCTGCTCTTCCCAGGTACTGGGTGCGTCGGACAGGCTGTCCAGGAGGGCAAGACACGGGGCATGCTCCTGGCTAGTCTTGGGGGCAAAGCAAAGCAAGCAGAGGATGCCAAGCCCCTAATACAGAGGGTCAAGAAGTTTCAGGACCCTGAAATAGTTGTGCATTAAATTTTGCACCTGTAGGGGAGCGCATGTGCAAGACGAGACTCTTGGTCACCTCAGCTTCCTGTCTTGGGTGAGGAAGCAAGTCAAGGACCTCCAGGAGACACCACTTGCTTCATCGCACATGCGTGAGCGGCCGGGCTGAAGTCTCCCTTTCCCCAGTGGCTCAGGAGCTGCGGGGCTGTGGATATGCCTGTGCACGGCCTCTCAGTTCAAGATGCGAATCAGGACAAAGGACAAAAGGTTGAAGGGTACATGGTTTTGGGGGGTGCAAAACAAAAACAGGAAGTGGTCTAGCTTGGGGATTTTCCATGGGAAGGCTGGGAAGCACATCCTGATGGAAAAGAGAAAGGAGGAGAAGGCTTCTCCGTGTCCTTGGCTGTCTGTGGGGTGTGATGGGCCTCAGCGGGAGTCACTCAATGGAGATGATGGGGATTCGGACTCCCAGGCAGGACACTGTGGCCTTAGGCTCAGCATCGTAGAGCTTTGGCCCCCTGCCCCAACTCCCCTCCCCCTATATCCTCTTGGAAGCTTGTCACCTTTGTGTCCCTTTGAGAGGTGTGTTCACGGATGTCCTATGCCTGTGTGAAGGGGGTCTGCAGTGACAGGAGAACAACTCACCTCTACCACCATCCACGTTGTCTGCAGTGGGCATCTGGACAGGTCACGCTCAGAACTAGTCGTGCAGATGGAGAGCGTGGGTCGCACCTGCTGTTGCTGTGAACCCCTGATGGGGCAAAGGCACTAGGTCCCTTTGCCACCGAACGTGGAAGGGCCAGAGGGAGTCTGCCCGCCTCCCTCCCTCCTTCTCCCAACCAGGGTGGCTTCCCGTAACTGCAGGTAGCAAGTGTCTGTGAGTAGGGGCACAACACCCGGGTGGGACCCCAGGACAAGGGGGCGAACAAGGGCAGAGACAGATGTCCATCCCTTGCTGGGGTCAGTGCTGCCTCTTCCCGCCAGGCTGCCTTAGGACAGGGTGGGAGGTGACTCACACCACTGCTTGCCTTGAGTCAAGAGTCTTATAGGAGCAGAAGGAGAAAACTCCAGTTCCTCACTAAAGTTCTGTCTCCAGTCGTTATTTTAGTCCCCAGTTATCAAGAAGTCAGATTTTTATGTGAAAAGGGAAAAACATGCAGGGTGTCTTCGGTGGCCTCTGTGCAAGTGAGTCAGGAAAGCCCTTGCAGACAGCCCCGGAGGTCATGGGTCAGCCTCTGTTCACCAAGTTCTGCTCAAAATATGCTGCAAGCAGGCGGCAGGAAATGAGTTGCAGCAACCTCTGTTTGTGTGTGAAAGTTTCCAATTAGGAATTCAAAGAGCTTGTTGTTGAATGGAAAAGTGAACCGATTTCCTTTTATGTGTTTCTCCACTTCCTTGGTGGTCCCTGGTCAGGGCTGGATCCAGGGCAGGAAGGTGGATGTCATTCAGTTCACCATGAGGGAGGGGAAGGGACACCGAATCTGATGTCATGGAAAGGAAATGGCTCACACACTCAGGTTCAGGGGCTGGCAGGATTGCCTGGGCCCACGATTTGCTTTTGTCAATAAAGTTTTATTGGGACACGGCTGTGCCCACTTGCTCATGTGTGATCAAGGGCTGCTTTCCCACTACAAGGATGGAGCTGGGATGCAGCTGGATGGAGACTATGCCTGCCAAGCTCTCTTGTTGACTCCTAGATTAAAAAAAAAAAATAATGGTCAGCCCATGCTCGTGCTTACCAGTTCTTAGCTTTTCTCATGTAAGTTGTCCCTTTTAAAATACGATGAAAGCTATGTTTTCATCTCCTTTCGGCAAATGCATGACTTCCTGGCTGAGAATGCCCACATGCAGCTAAGGCTCTTCTACGGACCTGGATATTCTGGCTTGTCCCAGGTGCGGCTTCTGAGGCTGTGGGGGACATCTGCACTGGCTCTTATCCTGCCTGCTGCATCTGTTGCAGTTGTGATAACAAACAAACAAACAAACAAATAACGCAACCTTGGATTACAGGTCAGGAGACCCGAGCTCTCTTCTTGGCTATTACCCTCATGCTGTATGACATTGAGCAAGTCACTGCACTTCTCTCGGCCTTGGTCCTCTCAAGTGCCACAGGAGAAGTCAGGAATAGGTGATTTCTTAAGGAGCCATCTGGCTTTAAGTTTCCTTGATTTCCAAGGGTCTGGAATTTGTTTCTGGAGTTGAGGAGAGAGGGGTTTGTGATTTGTGTTTTTAAGACGTCTAAATCTGCTTGGCCACCCAGAGAGGTGGTTAATTTAGTTAATTCCAAGCTCTGAAATCTGGGATTTGATTACCACATTGGGTGTTTGGCATCTGTTGGAGAAAACTCTGCCAGGCTCCAGTCTCCACCTCTGACCCCAGCCAGCCGTCCGGATTCATCCAGCAGGCACAAAGGCTGCTGAAGAGCATGGACAGTTGCAGTTCTGCCATATGCTTCAGAACTCTGGGAAAGCAACCCAGAGCCCAGCCTCCTGGCAGAACGTCCTGAGATGCCTCCTACCCAGCGTGAATGCATGAGGCTTGTCTCAGACAGGATAACTGCTCAGGGAAGCAGGTCACTTGCGAATTTGTGTTGCTTTTGTTTTTAAAACAAAAATAAATACAGCTTTTTTTTTTCCTGTTGAAAAAGTGATTCATATTTATTGTGGACAATTTTAAGAAATACAGAAAATGTGAAGAAGAAAGTTAAAACCATCCCCGAATCCCACTCTGCAGAGGTGACCTTCACAATTTGATCATCACTTGTGTGTTTCTTTTTCTTTTTTTTAAAATAAATTTTTAAAATATATTTATTTCATTTACTTATTTTTATGTAAATTTAATTTAAAGTAAATAAAATAAGTAAAAATAAGTGGTACCCAGTGGTACAAAACTCGTCCGCACGTGCTAGGCAAGCGCTGTACCACTGAGCCACAACTCCAGCCCTTGTGTGTTTCTTAGACCTGAACACTCACACTTTTACCTACATGGGCTAAACATGTGGCTCTTTGCCTATGTCTCATCTAACACAGTGAGCCAGGTGAATATTTTTTCTATGACTTTGGGTGTAAATGTCCAACATTACTTTTAACAGTTGCATAGTATTTTATCAACTGCATAATAATTCATTGGCTCAATCGTATCTAGATTGTTTTTAATGTCATTATTTATTAATATTTTTTAGTTGTGGATAGACCTTTATTTTATTTATTTCAACATCATTATTATTTGTAAGTATTTGACTACCACACTGAGATAATTATCTTTGCACTTACATTTTTCTGCAATTTTGTTTTGGTTGAGAATAAATTCCTAGAAATTTAAGAAGTTAAAGGGGCCATCATGGATCATTTAACACACAGGGTCAAATTCCCTCCAGAAAATGTGCAAGGCTTCCAACCATCCAGGTAAAGGAAGGTGCCCATCTCCCTGCCTCTGGCCACCCCGGCAATATTTAAAGTCCGATAGGTTAAGGCTGAGGTTTAATTGTGTGTTGATTTGCATTCCCTGGTCCACTGCTGTTGAATGCTGCTGTCTATGGCTGCCCAGGAACAGGATCATGGCTTCCCAAGGTTTCATCCTGCTGGAGAACCTAAGACAAAGGGCAGATGCAGAGAGCCGGGAGCCAGGAGACCAGTGCAGAAAAGTCTAATGACTCTTTGAGGACAAAACATTTCATAGAGGACTGACTGACCTGTGGCCTCCCTGGTGACTGCTCCTGGGAACTTGCAGAATGGCCTCTAAAAGGCATATGGTTCTGGGCATTAAGAGCCTTGGTTGACAGGGTGACATTTATTGTATAATTGTGGCGCCATGGAGGGCTGCCCATGTCCTGCTGATGGATCTTCTCTCATCTGACCACCCTGGGTCTGGGCCCAGCCTACCCCTTCTTCCGCCTCTTTGGATTAGATGATGACTTCACCTCTGCCAGTGCACCCAAGAGCTGCCCATAAGTTATCTTGAGGGTGGATGAGTTCTCCCTGAGGACGATGGGGTGGCTGAGTGCATGAGGGGCAGTTCTGCCCAGCAGTTTCCCTGTGGCCCTGTGCCACCATGACCAGCGGCTGGGCGGGGGGGGCACAGTGGGAGTTGCTGTCCAGGTCTGGCGCTTGGCGGTTTCCGGCCCCACTCAGGAGTCGTTGGTGGTGGTGATGACTCATGGCATTTGGAAAGTGTGGCTGTGCCCTGAAGAGGGAAGTGAGAAATAGCATGGCCAGGTCAGCACAGGACAGGATGGGGCTGCTTAAAGCCGTGGGGCTCTACTCTGGAAAAGTGGAGGGTGGGCCCCATGGATGGGGCTTGGGGTTCATGCATGGGAGTGGGGCCGGTGGGCTCCCCTTTGGAGTGCTGTCACTGGTTTGTGCCTGGGAAGCAGCCGCTTGTCTGGGCCGAGCTGTGGGAGGAAGTGGATGGTGATTCAGTGAGTGTTTCCTCTGACTCAGGACTGGGTCCGCTCCCGAGGGGTCCCCGGGGACGCTGTGTGGCTCTGGCTAGACTCCCTGAACTTGGAGCCAAAACAGAGGCTCTGACCCGTGTCTGCTGGCCCTCCCAGACCCCTTGAGCTGAGTGAGGGGGTCAGTGGGCCCCAGGGCCTGGCTCTAGCAAGCCTGCTCAGGCCTTCCTGTGGTTCTGGTGGAAAGACACGAGTGGGTGCGTCTGAGGGGCAACCTCGCCCTGGGGGTGGCCTGTGCCAGGGAGGCCAGGCCCCAGGGCCTGCAGACAGGGGTCAGTATGACAGCAGAGGTGCTTGAGCCAGTTCTCCTGTGGTCCACTTGTCCATTTGGCAGATGACGAGACAGGCGAGGACAGTGTGGCCAGCACGTCCCCATGGAAGGGTCCTGGTGGCTATCCAAAGCTGCTGCCTGCTGCCTGTCCCAGGAGCACTGCAGCTATCCAGATGCCTGCCTCTGCCTGGGGCGCAGGACCTCCAGCCTCCCTCCACACCCTCTGCAAAGGGGCTGCGTCCTCATCTCACTTGGGTAAGGTGGCTTCTTCTTCAGCTGCCTTCTCTCCTTTACCCTAGACCCTCCCATTGCTGCCATCAGGGCAGAGGGTCAGCTGACTAGCTCAGGTACAACGACCAGCATCGGGCTACCCCATGGCTAGCGAGAAATGGAGTAGCTGCATGTGTGGGAAATGCAAGTCCAACCAGACGGCGCTTCCAGAAGGGCTTGGTGTGGCCAGGACACCGCAGCAGGGCCAGCCTGCAAGGCGCTTGCTGTCTCTCAAACACTGATTTCGTCTCTCTGAGAAGCTTCCTCGACCAGGCAGGTGATACGCTTTGCTCATTGCACCAGAGAGGGACTGCCACCTCACCAGGCCATGGTGGCCTCACTGGGACCCAGTGAGCATGGAGGCTCCATCCTGGTGCTGTGGAGATGACAGAGCTGAGCTGCAGCTCACTTTGGATTCCATGGTCAGTGCAGAGGAAAGGGCCCCTGTCCTGGGCAGTCAGTCAATTCGACCAGCCTCACCAGGCACCGAGGCTCTTCCCAAGACACAGGCCAGGTCCTGTGGCCTCACCTCTGCCCACCCCAGGCCTGGCAGCGAGGGGCATGGTCTGGGGCAGGGGCTGTTTCTGGTTTGAAAATCCTTGGGGTGAGGGGGTTTTCTGAACCCCACTTCTGGGGGATGCACAGCTGTGTGGCTCTCTGGGCAGAATGCCTTGGAGGATCGACGGGGTGCGTGAAGGAGGAACACGAGAACGTTCTCAGAAGGCTGGCGAAAATGAAACCAGATAAAAACCCCGTGAAAATCCCAGCGGAGCAGAGGAAACCTTGACTCCCACTCTTGCCCTGTGTGCTCGGCCACAAAGGCAAGACTCCTGGCAAGACCAGGTGACTGGTTACGTGGGGACCTGAGCAGGAATGTGCTGGAAAAGAACAAAAGGGCCACTCCCTCGCAGGGGAGATTCACTGGGGGCTGCAGTCCAGGTGGAGAGCACAGCCTGAAAGACACTGAAAGGAAGGGTTCTGCGTTTATGCCAGGCCGACTTCAGCCAAGGGTCACCTGGCTTGCCCCTGCTGTCTGGTTGGTGATCAGAGGAACTCTGACCTCCTTTTAGTCACCCAAACACCCACTGGAGATGTCTCTGAAGATGAAGCAACATGCACAAAACAGATAATGACAAGCAAGTGATGTCACAGGTTATCTGTGGGGAGTAGAGGAGCAGGCTGGTTAACACGCCCACAGGCAGGCAGCCTCTCTGTTCCTCTAATTGGCTTTCTTGCTAGGGGTGCAGTTTTGGGCACAGAATACTGGGTGTTTTAAGGGATGGAGGGGAGGATGTAGAAACTTTCACTCTCCTCTCATGGATGACATTATCCCAGGGAGGAGCAGCTCCTGTCACCCAGCAGCTGGCTGTGGTCTGTGGTGGGTAGCCTGCTCGGCACAACCAACCTGAATGCTATCATGGGGATTTCAGTTCTGCTCTGTGGCTCCAGGCAGCTGTGGGCCCCCGGGCTTCATGGGGGCTGCAGGGTGGGCAGCAGGAAGGCCTGGTCTCACTGGGGGCACTTCACCTCGGCACCGTGTTCCTGATCTGGAAAGGTGCTGGTGGGCTTCTCTGGGCCTGCAGTGGTGGCCACATGGTTCCTTAGTGGTCTGGGAGGGTCTTCTGGCTCTGGACTTGGTCTTCCCGGGATGCAGCATGTGTCCAGTGTGTGGAGCCCTCTTGCCCTGGGGGAAGCCTGATGCGTGCTCATTCTGGTCAGAACTGATCTGCCCTCCTCCCTCCAGGGCTGTCCTCCTTCAGGTGCAGTGAGATAGACAGCACGGACAGTTCTTTTACCCGGTTGCCTGGCCAGAGCCAAACAGGGTGGGGGCTCCACACGGATTTGTTGGTCTTTCTTCCTGCTTCATCTTTGTAAGGGTGGAAGTCCCAATCTCCGGGACCTCAGAGTGTGACCCTCTTGGGTACAGGGTCTTTCAAAAGGTGATCAAGCTAAAATGGGATCACATGGGTGGGAACTCATCCAGTGTGACTGGGGTCCTTGTGGAAGAGGAGATGAGAAGACAGATCACACAGAGGGATGGTCAGGTGAGGACGCAGGGAGAAGATGTTGTCTGCAAGCCAAGAGAGAGGCCTTGGGAGGAGCAGCCCTGCCGCACCTTGACCCTGGACTCCAGCCTCCAGGGCTGTGGGGAAAGGAAGTTCTGTTGTCTAAGCCTCCTGGGCTTGGTACTTTGTGGCAGCAGCCCCAGCAAACTGGTTCCACCTTCCAACCTGTCCACTCAGCACATGTCCTGCTCTGGGGATTCAGGAAACTCTAGAGACGAAAGCAGAGAAGTATGGAAAGAGGACCCGGGAAAGGCTGTGGGTCTTCATCTACTCCTCCAGAGTTCTCCCGATTCAGCCTCGCCTGGCCTCCGCCCTCCACAGAAAGCGGAAACCCCGTGGGGAAATGAAACGCAGGGCCCGGCAGAGGCCCCCAGAAGCCCTGGGATGGGATGGAAACCCCTCACAGACTCGGAAGCATCCTTCCTCCTGGCTGCCCCTCCCCCATGGGCAGGGGTTGCCCATGCAACTGCGACGGGCAGATTGTCCTTGGCCTTGTGGTCCTGGAGGGTCATGTGCTGTGACCTCTTTGTCTGCAGCCATCAGTGGCTCATTTCATCTTGGAATCATCTTGCGATCTCTGGGAACATCTGGCAACTTCAAACGTGCCCAGCCTATGAAGAACCTATGCACAGTGTGGAAGTCTTACCATTTCTTGTTCTCCTAGGGAGTCTGCCATTTTGAACCCAGCACTTTCTATCATGTAGTGCAATGATAATCCTACCGTCTCATGGGTTTCTGCAGTGCCAGCTTACCTCATTGATTGTAAAGGGGCTGGGATTCTAGGAGCTCATTGTCGACCAATTGGTCCTGGGCTGCATAGTGCTGGTCCCCAGAGGGCTGTGGCCAGCATGGGATGCCTGTGCAGACACATTTCCTGGAGAGCCGGGTTGGGGTTTGTATGGTTGCTGCCTCCTCCTGCCGAGCGTGGTCTTCCTGGAGTCCGTGGCGTCTCTCTGTGTGGTTGGCACAACTTCCCTTTCTTTTCTACACTCCATCAAACGTGCCTATCCCTAGGCTTACCTGAGGGTCAGCACGTCAGGAATGTCCCAAAGCCACCATGTGCTTGGCCCCACTTCCTCCTCAACGCCTTCCTCTGCTGGCTCCATGGCTGCCCCTGCATCCTGCCCTCCTCCTCTTGCTCCGTGCTCATTACCAAGCAGAATCCTTTCCTTCATGAGAATGTAAGTCACCCTTTTTCTGAGGGTAGCTGTGTTTCAGATGCGTGACCCTGAGCTTTCAGAATCCCAAGAAATCACTACGCCCCCATTCTCAAGTGGAGCCCCAGGTTTCCAGGCACTGGCTGGACAGTCAGGCCTGCTCTGCTGACAGATGGCCATTGGCTCGAAGTCTGCTCCAGCCAAGGAGGACTTAGAGAAGGGACCCTTCCATACAAGGCTTCCTTCGTCAGGACTCACACTTGGAGACATCCAGCCCACTTGGCCTGGGTGGTGAAGGGCCAGTTCCTGTAAATATTGACAGTTAGAAACCATCCCAGGAGTGCCTAAGTGATGGTCGGGAAGGTAACGCACAGCAACATGACCAGCGGGTAGGCAATGCTCATCATTTGCTAAGAGACAGCCACTGATAAATATCGCCTCGTTATCTCTCTTCCTCCTGGTGGCTCATTTACTTGTGTGTGACTCATCGTTGACATATTAAGGGGTCTGATTCAGCAAGGAAAGTTCAGTCTGCTGCAACAGAATGGCATCCAAGGCCACTTCAGTTTCTAGGATACTGGCTTTTTAATGAGAGTAGCTTTGCCAAGAAGGAAAAGCAGCAGAGTCTTCATTCAGAAACTGGAGGACGCATGGAGAGATCTGAGCAAAGCGGTGCTTCCACTGTGCAGAGCCCCTGTGCCCCATGGGCACATCTCCACATGGGCAGCTGTGGGTTCATGGGGACCACCAGGCTCTTCCTCTCTGTTCCAGTCAGTGCTTTTGGGTGGGTGGGCTCCACCTCAGAGAAGGGACGAGGATGAGCCCCAGCCCTTGCAGAAACTGTTTTCACATCCCGTCTCCCTCTTGATTTACTTAAAATAAACTTGTCGTCACCTGAGTCTGCTGATCTTTCCAAGGGTTCGGTTGTGTGGTTATTGGGCTTTGTTCCCGGGCAGGAACCTCTGGCGAGAAGCACAGTCCCCTGGAACGGCCTCAGGCCAAGCGTTTGTCCTGCCCAACCAGAGATGAGCTTTTCAATAAGTGGGTTTTGAACACGGGCTTTTGGTAGAACACGGGCTGGATGTGCCAGCCGAAGGTGCTGTCCTGGGCTGAGTGGGCTCACCCGTGTGCCACTCACATGGGCACATACACACAGAGTGTGGGGCTTGCAGAGTCCCCTGATGTCCTCCGAGCTCCTCTGCAATGGGAGCTGAGCTTTCACTGACCTGTCTTCATCGAAGGAACGTGTCTCATGTCAGCGTGAGCGTCTCTTTGCTGCTACTGCATCACTTTGGGCCAGTGACTTAACTTCTCTGCAACTCCTTATTTGTAAAATGGGGGCCATGATGCTTACCTCTCAGCCAGTGTGAGTGGGAATAGTACACTCCGCACCCACACGCCGTAACACTTGCTCGGCAGAGTTAGCTCTTTCCTCTTGCACGGGCCATAGTGAACACTGCTGCTGTGAATGATGACAGCAGATACCAGCCAGGCAGGACGAGGACCAGGCAGGGAGGCAGTAGGGAGACTCTAGCCCCTTAGGGATGCTGAAGATCATGATTGTGGTTTAGTGGCGGTTGGTGATTTGCTGGGTCAGGTGGCCACCAGGGCGCCTTCTTCCTGGTTGTCCCATGGTACGGGCACAGATTGGTCCCTGCACTGTTAGTGAGACAGCTTGGTGGAGGCCGCCCCTGGCCTCCTCCTCTCCTAGATCTTTTCTCTCACTTGCTGGTTCATCCATCCACTGCACATCTGTGTCAATGCCTGTGTGAGCTGGGCCTGTGCTCTCACTGAGAAGCTATCTTCTGCTCATGCTACCACAGAGCACTCCCTGCCCCGACATGCACAAGTGTGCGCATGCACACACACATATACTCACACACACACACTCACACACACACACACACAGCTCTGTTTCAGGTTCTGATCTCTGAATAGACCCATGTGACTGGCTCTGTTCTCTCTTACATGTGCTTTCCCATTGCCAGTCTGCTTTTCCCATGGACCCGGTGCCCACAGACAGCTTGGGAAGCGTTGGCTTACAAAATACTCCTTGTTCTGAGGCCCTCTGATGGCCTTGCTGTGCAGGTCAGAGGAGGGGAGAGGAGGAGGCGGCATATCTCGCACAGACAAATCAGGCTGTGTACCCGAGGCCTGAGCCCTGCTCTTCCTGCCCCCTGCTCCTCCAGCCCCCTGTTCCTCCCGCCCTGCAGAACCCGAGGGCTCGGGGATGGATTTCTGCTCTCACAGAGCTGCCTGTGGAAAGCATTTCTGCAAAGTCACGTTACTCCAGAGACCAAGTTGGCTTGCTGAGGCCATGTGGCAACTGAGAGCCACGGAGGAAGTGGCCCAGTCTACAGAGACTCCCGTGTCTCTACCTGGCTGGGCTCCCAGGGGTCTAAGCTGCTGTCCCTGTTAAAACAGAGGGGCTGGAAGATACCATTGAAAGGGGGAGATGCAGCATGGCAGGGCCGGGCTCAGAGCGCTCAGCCTGCCTCGAGTCTTCAGTCTAGATGGCTCTGTGCTAACACGCAGCAGCACTGCTGTGGAGAAAAACAGCTCTGGTGGAAGAAGCGGGGGAGCCAGGAGAAACCCTGGCCCAGCAGCCCCAGCTGGCTGCCAGGAAGAGTGACCACAGAGCAGGGTGCATGCTCTCCAGGATACTATTTCAGGCCCACTGGAGACCAGTGTGTGTTCTGTGCTACAGGAAGAATGTTCCCTCAGACAGAACCGCTCCTCAGGCCAGACAGGAGGAATGCACGGCCAGTGGGGCTTGCTGCTTGATTCCGGGGCCTGCCCTTCTTCCTGCAGAGTCCCGTGCATTTTTGTCTTGCTAATTTGCCCACCTCTCACCATAGCCTTCGCGCAAGGGTGGGAGTCTTCTGAGACCCTGAACTGTAGTGTTGGACTATGAGTCGTCTTCCAGAGCCACCCTATGTCATCTGTCTCTTTGACACAAAGAGGCAAGAGGGAGGGAACATGGGAGAGAGAGGGGAGGGAAAGGAGGAGACAGGGAGAGAGAAACCTGCTGCTGACGTCAAAGAAGACCACATTGTACAGGACAGCATTACTGGTACCTCTCCACCCACTCCCTCTAATTTACTAGAAACCAAACAGCCTGTTTTGAAGCCCTTAGCCTTGCAGGCTGGTTTTGTTTTTCCTATTCTCCTTTGACCAAAAGGGCCATTAATTGCTGGGAGTCTGAAAGCGACCTGATCCCCGCAGCACTGGGGATTTCCATGAGTCATAATTTAGGCCTGCTTGCGCAGGGCGCTGCGGGGGGAGTAGACTCCTCCAGCTGCTTGCAAAGCTGATGGAGGAGCCCCAGGAGAGGTCGGCTCTGAGGCGGGGGCCGTGGTTGCTGCTGCTGTCACAGGGCCTGGCTGAGCTTGCCAGGGCTCGCCTGAGGCCCCTCCGTATGCCCCATGTTCCCTGGTTCCCTTGAGAGACACAACTTTGTCGTCTAGCGGGTGATGCAGGGTGATGGCAACTCTCCTGCGAGCGTGTGGAACCTCTTTCTTGGGAAATGCAGGAGCCTGGGGATGCAGGAAGGGATCCTACTTCCCGGGCCCGTCTTGGGCTCATGGGCATGTTGGATCTTGCTTCCCAGGAACCTCCCGGTTCTGTTGTCCAGACACCCAGGGCCTATTTACAAATAAAATTGGACCTGGCATCAGTCCCCTGCAACCCGAGGCTACAGAGACACCAATGCCGCTATCCAGACGGTGGAGTTCACTCTGTTGGCTGGCCAGCGTGGTGTACAGTTTAATTTTTATTGTAGTAAAAAATAATAAACACTGCATTAGCAACTGCGTGTTCATCAGTTTGCAGTTCATTCTCAGCCGGATCACTTCCCTCGCGTGTTTTCCTGCTTGCTCAGGCATGGGAGTGCGTTCCACGAAACACGTGTGGCTGCCGACGCCGCAGCCTCTGTGACCATTAGATGGTGCTCCCCTTGATTGGATAATGTTACTTGGCTACTTCAGCTATGGTCCTCAAATATGGCATTTTGATGATGAAGGAACGGCAGTGAAGGAAAGCGAGATGACTGCTTGGGATTACGGGGTGGCTCCAGGACGAGGGGCCATGTTTTCCTTTTGCTTTTACGGGAAACACCATCCTGTATGCTGGACCTGAGCAGGCCTGAGTTTGATGTGCTTCTTTCCCCCACTTTATGGCCAGTTGGTATTAGAGGAGGTGGTGAGGACTTAGGAACTCAGCGTGACGACGTGTCTGCACACGAGAGAAGGAGCATGTGGATCATGAACAACGTCTAAGTCCACAGGCTGCCCCAGCCAGGCCTCCTGCAAGTACCTAAGCAGATTCCAGCCATCATTGGTGATGTTATCCACCATCCATCAGTGGACTCCATAGCCAAAGACATGATTTAGCCATGACAGTGTGAAGTGATGGCTATGCTGGGCTCAGGCAGATGCTCCTCCCTCCTCCCCCAGCTGCCCAGTTCTCCTTATTTCAAGTATGTAATAGAAACCTGGATATTGCCACATGGTTTAGGGTGGGTCTTGGTGGTTACTTGGGGGAAGGGAGAGTAAAAGAGCTTTCAGGGGCAGTAGGCAAAATAAATCAGACCTGTGCTCCATTTATTTCTTTGAGAAAGTAACTCACATTTTCGAAGCCCTGGTTTTCTCCCCTGAAGAAATGAGGGGATGACAGGACATCCCTCACAGGACCAGCATGCACACAAGGATGCTTATTCTCAGAGCTTGGCGTACTGCCTGCATCTGGTGGGTGCTCAAGAAATACTCTTGTTAGGAAGAGCAAGCTTGGCAGGTGCTGGTACCATATATGCAACCCCAAATATGAGGCAATGCCTCGTTTCCCAATGGGCGGGTTACAAAAGTTTTGGTCTTTCTTGGCCAGCTTGGATATATAAACTTTTAATGATACAAGTGACAGTCAAATCTTGCATTATAAAATTTAACCTATTGATTTAATTACAGGTATTTGTAGAATTGCAGGCATAAATGTGTGAAAATGTTGCCTTTGTTTTGCTCGTTGCTCAGGCTTCTTGTGGCACTTGAGCTCCTTTTCTGAATGACATAGCTCAATCTTTGAGGGTGCCTCTTCTTGCCTCTGCCCATCGTCTTTGAGATTTAGCACTTTTTGAGTCTGTAGGCTGTGTTGTTGGAAACGTTATCTCAGTCCTTACTCTCCATGTGCTATTTGAGATCCCCCCAAAGCTGACTTCTTGGGCTGCTTTTGAAAAAGACCTTCGTGGGGTCTTGGCTACCTAAGGGAAGGTTCATGAATCTCAATTCCTTACAGGGTATTTTGTTGTACTAAATAAAGAAATTGAGAGAGACTCTATAACATGAGTCACTCTTCATGGACACAAATATAAGGCGATATCTTGGATTCACCCCATGGCCTATCTTCCTCTGTGCTTTGCTGGCCTGAGAAAATGGGGTGGTGATGTCAGGATGGAGAGCACCCACAGGTGACCGACAGGCCTACTGCAAAGGCTTCACCAGAAGCACCTCTGCCCAGTGCCCATGATGGCCCTGGAGCTGGCCCAGGAGAGTGGGGCATGCAGCCTGCAGGCCTTAAGCATGGCCCTGGGTGTGTGGGGTCAGTGGAGGCATCTCCTTCTTCACTGGGGAATACTTACTCCTGGAGAGAAGCAAGAGCTGAGTTCTACGTTGTCAGGGTGAGACTCATGGTGCAGCCCCTGTGCTGATCCAAGGCCTGAGCGCCGCATCTGGGGGTCAGAAAGCAGTTCCATGTTTACCTCGCGTTAGTGTGTCGCTGGGCTTTTCTGAAGGAGGAGAGGAAACGTGGTTATTTAAAAACCTGGTGGAAGAACAGGATGCTTTCCATACAAACAGAGCAGATTGTCTGCCAATGAGGACTGTGGTTAAAAATAACTGCTGGTCTGTGTGGGAAGTCTGGAATTCTCTGGAATTCTTAGCTTCTATGTTTCTCCCCAAGGGCGGACTGTGCTATGCCACAGTGGGCTGGTCGAAATTCTCTGATCTGTTCCTGAGGCTCCTTGCTGTGACACTCCACACTTGACCAGAGAGGGGCCAGGGCTGCTCCAAGAGAACCCAGCCTCGGACACGGAGGTCATAGCCCAGAGCCCTGCAGAGCCTGTCCCAGCCTTTTAGTGCTGGAAGGTTTGTTGGAAGGAAGAGAAGAAGATAAACAGAATACCTGTGTGCTCAAACTGAGAGCAGATTCTTTTTGGGAAGGGGTGTGTGTGCGTGTGTGTGTGTGTGTGTGTGTATGTGTATGTGTTGATGAACTAAGTGTTCATTTTAACCCAAAAAGAACAAAAGCTGTGAGGTTAGATAAGTGTCTGCTGGGCTCATTATTGCCGTGGGGAATTCTGCAAAGTGGGCTTAGAGGTCACTGGCTGGAGCTGCAGAATATAGTTCACCCGTGGTTTATCCTCACTCTCATTGGGCAGCTACTGAAAACAGAATGTGAATTACCTTCCGGAAGTCCTCAGTGAACTTCAGTTCTGCCTGGGGAGGATGGCCGCTTCCAGCCAGAGAGCACATGATGAGGTTTGCAGGCACTGCTTGAGCAAGGCCAAGTGGCCACTAGCCAGGGCGGAAGTTAAGCCAGAGGATGGCCATCAGACGCAGTTGTTAGGTCTGGCACGCGGTTCTCGGCCTGCTGAGCTGAGCAGGAAGGAGAAGCCTGTGGACTTGTCTCATGTCTTCTCAATGCAGCCTTTCATCTGCGTGCTTCTATTTGCTCAATGGAAGCAAGTCTGACTTGCATACCACTGAGGATTCAGCCCGACAGTTTACATCGTTCACCCACCGCCCTGCAGAATCCTCTACCTAGGCTTTCCTGGGTTGCTTTTCCAGCAACCTGAACAACCTCTTAGGCATTTGGAATGCCATTTGGTTGTACTTAAAAATTTCCCAACAGGTTTGCTGCACTTTCTGTGATAAATATAATAGCTTCCCTAGAATTGTGGTGCCTCCTTATGCTACATTTGTAGGCATGTGTGTGTCTGCATGAACAGCAGCCAGCCGCTCCTAAGGAGTAGTTTCTGTCGCGTTCTCGGTGGTGGGGTCATCCACCTCTGGTCAGTGAGTAAACGCCTCGCGACGGCACCTGGCACAGATGCTGCACTGCGAAGTTTAATGTATAACTGGTGTTTTCTTTCCTCTGTGTCAGCGGTTGGCAACACGATACTGTAAATAAGGATCCAATGGGTAAGTGGACGTCCGCAGTCTGGGGAGGAAAGGCCGGGCAAAGCACTTTTGAAATTCACGTCCGTCGTTGCTGCAAGGGATAAAATAATTTGGGTAACCTGGAAGTCCTGAGGATTCACAGGTTTCAAAAACAGGAAAGTCGCTTGTTTTAAAACCTTGTAGAGCAACATGTGGGCTGAGAAAAAAAAGCTGGCTTGTGGTTTAGTGATGGTACTTCCTTATTGATAGAGTGGCCGTGCGCAAGGCCTCCTGGGATCGCAGTGTGACCGCAGGCCCGACGGTTACCCTGGCGGGTTCTGAAACAGCCGGGGCTTTCTGGACAGATGAGAAGTCTAAAAATTTCCCTTTTCATTTCCTCTCTTGTGTGACTTTGTCATTTAAAAAAAAGGAAAAAAAAAAAAAAGCTAGTAGTAGAAAAGGGAATTTCGGCCATGGTCTTAAGTTTCTTTTGATTGAGATCTTCTTTTCACTCCCCCAAAATCCCACCCTGAAAGCCCCAAGCTTTAAAAAAAAAATCCTTTATTCTTGAAGATTTTGTGCAGTTGGTGTGTGTTTGGTTCCTCACTTTTAGGCCAGATTCAGAGCCAGGAGATTTTTTTTTTTAATTGATTAAAAAAAAATAAATGATAGCAGAAGGCATTACAATTCTTTTTACACGTATACAGCACAATTTTTCATATCTCTGGTTGTATATAAAGTATGTTGACACCAATTAGTGTCTTCATACATGTACTTTGGATAATGATGTCCATCACATTCCACCATCCTTGCTAGATCTTTTAAACTGCATGATTTTTAAGAAACACCCGAGACCTGTCCACCCATGGGCGTCTGGGAGCTGAACACACAAGCTGAGGTCGAGTCTTTCTGGAATCCTAACCCTCTCACAGCCAACAGGCGGCTCTGTTGGGCAAAGGCTCCGAGGACCCATCCCTGAGCTGTGAGTAAGGGAAATGAATACCACTTCAAGGTGACAAAGCTGACTGCCCACGGCAGAGTCTGCTGGCTAGAGGATGGGGCTGTCAGGGACCCTGAGCACAGTCCGCATCCCAGCAGAACCCCAGAGGGGGCCACTTGCCCTCCTCCAGCCCTGAGGCCTGGGTGAGAGTGCTGACCGCTAGGCCTCTGGGCGGTGGCCTTCCCCAGGAGGAGAGGCAGGAGGGAGGGCCACTCTTCCATGGCATTCCTCCAGAGTCCCGGAGCCTGCTCTTTTTTTAGCCCATCTTGAGCCTGTGTGTTTGCAGGAGCACAAGCAGGTCTGTGCGAGCTGCTTATGTCACCCACCAAACCCAGATTGGTATGAATTTTGCTGAATTCAAAGACGATACATTTGAGAGCAGTGCGCATTTCACAGCTCCAGCAAATCACTGGCCGCACACACAGACTCTCACCCAACGACCCCATTTTGTCCTTCTTCCGTCTTGGCTCTGGGGACCTGCAGCCTGAAACCGAAGGCTGAGATGATTGCACCGCAGAGTTTGCTCTCACCTTCTCTCTTTTTTTGATAAGCCCAATAAATCTGCCCCATCACGTCACTGAGGCCACAAGGAAATGTAATCCTGCCAAATGTGGGTGCCAAGGAGAGCTGCCAAGGTCAAGGGTACAGAGAGCAGGAGCCAGTTTCTGATTTCTGCAGGTCCAGTGTGTGCATAGGAGTAGGGCAAGTGGCTACTGGGTGTCCAGAGGGGATGGGGTTGACGACCCCACAGAGGGCATCAGGAGCTGCAGATGCCCAAGTCCCTTGCATAAAATGGAGCAGTTTTTGCATGTAGTCCACGTGCTTCTCCCACGTACTTCAGATTATCTCCAGGCTGCTTACAGTACCTACCATAGTGTGCCTGCCAGGGCAGAAGTTGTTATACTGCATTACTTAGGGAATGATGGCAAGGGGAAAGCCTGTCGGTGTAAGACAAGCTCTTCTCCCCCACTGAATCCGTGGACATGGAACTCACAATGGGGAGAGCCAGCTGTACTGTGTATGTGCACGGGTGCCATGTGTATGCACCATGTGTGTGCATGGGAGCTGAGTGGGTATATGAGTACAGTCTACAACTGTGTGCCCGTCAGGGGTGTGTGTGGGAATGGGTTTGGACTATGCAGGCATGTGTGCTGGGTGTATGTGTTTTGGAAATGTGTGTCCTGTTGTGTGTACAAGTGTACCTGTGTGTGCCATCCCAGGTGCCACAGACCTGTGGGGCTGTACAGGGGGTGCTGGTGTGGGTAGGCCTGCTCCAGTTCAGGAAAGTCTGAGGACTCATGCTTCCCACCTGGGTGCTGCCCTTTCCCCTAGGCAACACGCCGAGGCTGCAGAGGGAGGCAGACTGCCTGTGCCATCTCCTTCCCACCTGCTTTCCAAGTCAGCTCCTTTTAGCATCTTCCCCTCAGCCTCAGGGCAAAGAGCCTTGGAAATAGATGAAGCCAGGATTTGACACTCTTCTGGTGCATCCAGAAGTCAGAGAAGGAAAAGGAAGAAAAATAAGAGGGACTCAGGTTGGCGAGAGCGCTCGAGTTGGGATTTATGAAATAAAACTTCTGCCCCAGTTTCCTGCCTCCAGCCTCACTGTAAGTGCTGACCCACTTCTGGCTATTTTTATTTGTTTCTTTGAAAACGCTCGTGGTGTGATGAGGGCTGACTCTTGTGGATGCTGTTCTTACTCCTCCCGCCGTCTGAGTCCCAGAGTGCGGCCCTGCCCTCCTCACTCCCAGTAGTCCTGGGTGAGTACAGATCCGAAGGATGGTGGGGGTCCTCGGTAGTGTGACAAAGGAGTGACCCACTTCCTCACAATCAGAGACGCAGGGCACGCAGCTGCTACCTGCACGCAGGGCTTTGTACCGGGCCGCCTTTGTCTGGTTTTCCTCTCCGAGCCGCAGACCCCATCAGAGCCGCGCCTGCCAGTTCCTGCGTCCCAGGGGCAGGCTGTCCTGGGGCTCTTGCCCCAGTTTTGCACTTTGGGCCTGGGCGGTGAGTGGGTAGCCACTTATCTAGGATCACAGCTTGTGTCAACAGAGCGACCGGGAAGTGAGCTCGGGGTCCGGCCTCACATGGACAGTTGGGGATGTTTACTTTTCTCTTTGAGCAAACTTTGATTTACTCTTTAATAAGTTACCACTGAGGATGTGGCTCTGGAGAGGTTTGACTTGGCATTCAGCCCAAGTCACATATTGATAAAGGAGGAGAGGGGATGCAAGTCTTTACGTTGTTCCAGCTTTATCATTAACTCCAGGTTTGGAAGGGGACTTACCTCCAGAGGCCAGGGTTCCCTGTGTGCCAGGGGGACGCCCCTCAGTCCATGGGGTATTGGGCCTCCTTAGTGGAAAGGCGGTGAGGCTCAGGCCACAGCACTGTTGAACCCCCTGGAGGGCCTGAGAGATGAAATAAAGGTGATCTTGAGTTCAGACAGGCCTGACTGGGTCCCAACTCCGTCCCTTACAGTGCCACCTGGGGAATCCCCCACTTTTTTTTGGCCTCAGTTCCCTCATCCATGAGGTGAGGGGACATTCAACAAGAGCAAGAAGCTTACAGGATCAGTGAGGAGACGGCAAGGGTCAGACGGGATCATGGGATGTGGAGAGACTAGGCATAGCAGCTCTCAGGGTTATTTCTTAGGTCATTTTTATTGTGTGGAAGAGTCCCCAGGATGTCACCTGCATGGGGTGGGTGAGTGCTCCATTCCTCTCCACTTTTCCTATTTGGGTCCATGTGGGTGGATGGAGCTGCCCTTCAAGGGTCAGAGCGAAGGAATGCTCTTGCCTCACGCCCGGAGGACACAGGTCCTTGGGGGTCAGGGCGAAGCTTCCTTCCCTTCTGCTGACAGCATTTCCTCATTACATGCAGCCGTCTGCAAACAAGGAAAATGTGAGAAGAAAGAGGAGGCACTTTGGGCCCTTGTCATAAGCCCCGTGACCCTTGGGTCCCTGCTTTTTCTTTGCTGGTCTGCAGGGGCCCAGGGCTTGCATGGGGAGGGAGAGTCCCCTGTTCAGGGATTCCAGTGGCCTCGCTCCCGAGTGCTGCGGTGGTGAGCCACCGAGTAAACCGCGCTCTTTGGCGGGGGCGTTGGGGTAAGGAGAGGGTCCCCAGGAGGGTCACTGTGGGTACGCAGTGCCATAGATGTTCAGGGTAGGTCTGCTGCTGGTGAGAGGTGCCTTATCTCCAGAGCGTCTCAAGACCAAGACCATCGACTGTAGGTTCACAGGCTCAAAGCCAGGCCACTTTTTACAGTTTTAATTGCCATGCACCAGTGAATCCAAATAGTATCAGTGATGCCATCTCCTTTCACTGGACAACCAGTGCTTCTGCCCACTCCTGGTGCACCCTGGCTGAGTGGGGTAGAAGGAGATCATGTGGCCCAAAGACAAAGGAAACTGGGATCCCCCCCC